TTTCGTTTCCGACCGCAGCAGAGTACGCCAAATAATCTGGGAGATTTCAAGGTTTCAGCGACAGCACTTTGTGTTGTTCATTTCTTACAAGGTTTTTACGATTCTTTTCAATCATCCCATTTCAAAGAAGAATAACAATACTGAAAGATTGTGGAGTTTCCCCGCGAAAGCAGCGAGACTGCAAAGGAAAAACGGATGACCGCGTAACCATAACCAAGTAGTATGAAGTTGGCCAGCTTTGCTAGTCACGTGGCTTGTCCTTGAAGGGTGATGTTAAGGATAGCCGATTCCGGTCAAATAACAAAACGTTCTAGTCACCTGTATGCGTGAAACGAAGAAGGCCTTCTCTGCGGAATCATTTATTAGAAAATGCCAACTGACCAGTTACAGACTATTGGACAGGGAAGCAAAACTCGTATGCATCTTGCTCGCAAAAACTGAATATCCATCTTCACCTTCTGAACTTTCCTGAATATTCATTGACTGTTATCCAAATCCAAGCAAGTGCTACAAAGAGACTTCACAAATTCTGCAATAGATCTCACTTTTCAAGAGGCGCAAAGTGAATTTACAAGAAAACATACTACTCGCTTGCCTCCCTATCAGTAGTATCACCGTTATATGCGTATGCTTGTCTCACGATGTTGTGTGTATGCGTGAGGTGGAACAAATAATTTCACGTAGACGCTAGTAAACGTAAGAAAAGAACTTCCGAAAGTTCACTCGCATCATTTGTCTCGTCACATGTTTAACCAGCCTGTTCAAGCGCTTTTTTCCTGTAATCGTCCCTGAACCAAAAGCCTTGAAAATTGGCAAACGTTTGAGCCAACAACAAATCAGGGAGAAAGCGGGTTGTGATGATTGGCCGGTGCATTCTGAAGTCGTGCTTAGTTGAAATATTTCCGAATGGGAAACACTTCCAAACGATGAATTATCTGGATGGCACGGAAAGAACAATGAGCAGAGAACTTCATCAGGTCAATAAATAAACGATCTCTATTGGCAAGCAAACTGACCATCTTCGCAAGCACACTATGCTGAATCGTACAGATAGTGGTTTAGCTGATAGTGGTTTAGCGACAGCACCTTCCACCGAGATCTTCTTGACTCGAGACAATGTGAATTCGGCCAACATCACTCGATAGTAGCATTACAAATCACGTAAATGAGCAGTGGTGATCACCGAATGCCATTTTTACTTTTACTTTCAAGACATATAACCCACTGCGCTGTTGCACGCAGACCAAGCTTCTTGGGTACAAAATATCCATCCAGCTAGTTAATGTTTTCAACGTACCTGGCTGCTTCCGCTACAAGTTTAAAAGGATTCCTGACGAGTTCTCTGAACCTTGGATCAAAAACCGAAAACTATGCAAGTCTCCCCTTTTCCGGAATCCAGACAACCTGGAAAAATCTTTTCTAAGAGCACGCTGAGTGAGAACCCGACGTGGAGGACTAACCTGACCCGCCTGTGGGCAAGATACCTGTTTTCCAAAGTCTGGAAAAATTCACTTCTTGACGTCTTACCTAAACAGTTGTCACAGGTCTGGAAAACCGAGACATATTCTGACCTCATGCCTCCTCTGCTATCCCCATGATGTGAATTAGACCACGGCTGTTTTGGGTACACAATGCGGGATATGTGATATGGAGAAACCCTGAAAAATTGGTCAGAGAATCCCGACTCGGCCATGCTCAAATGATGCAAACGAAAAGACTCACTGATTCGGCTACAAGCCAACGAATGTTTTATTTGAAATAGGTCAGAGATATTCTCATAAAGGAAACTATTCACAAGGGATATAGGTCATATTCTCATAAAGGAAACTATTCACAAGGTTGATGAAAATTCTTCGACAACCCACAACCAATTTCGCCCTTTTTGGGACTGACCAGGTAGGCGCAGTCCCCGAGTTTCCGTCAAACTTATGTTCTACTTGAACCAAAATTAGACAAATCTCGACTAGTACACTCATTTGCAAATCAATTTGGTTTTCACGAGAGACTCAACCGAATCTCTTATGATATTCCACAACTGAATGTGCTTTATGTTTCGGTTGGTACGATATTCGAGATATCGCAGTATATTTTCATAAAGGAAACTACTGACAGGGTTGCCGAAAACTCTTCGACAGTCCACGACCGGTTTCGCCCTTCTTGAGGCTCATCATGTAGGCGCAGTCAACGGGTTTCCGTCAACCTTATGATTTACTTGAGCCCAAAGTGATTTGCAAATGAGTGTACTTCTCGAGGTCAGAGCTATTAATAAACAAGTTGCCCTTCCACTGAGCTACTTGTTGCATTCCACCCCCCCTCCAAAGAGCAATTGTAACAAGCTCTGCAGTTGATGTTGCGATTTTGCCTCTTAGAAGGGTCCCATATTGATGAATGGCCCTAAACTCTAAGAATTTTCAAATTGTCCGCGTATAAGGAACCCCCTATCTACACCAAATCAATAGGTGATCATCATCTGACTGAGAACAACATTTTGTGAACAAAAGTCGCCAACGATCGTCGCAGGTTAACAAATCGATTGTCCATCTGGCTGTGTGAATTGGATCAGTCTGAGAAATTTCCGGCCAGAGGGGAGCTGGATACGCATAGTAGTGTCGTTATGAAATCGAGCTTCACTTCTTATAAGTTCCAACATCTTTCAAGACAAAGACTTTGCGGCACGTTATTGTTCGAGAATGTTCTAACTTCGGTTCGGGATTTCAAAGCGGAATCACAGTAGCTCAATAGACACGTTCATCTTTCGTGTGATATAGCAGGCTGTACGGATCTATACTACCACGATTACGCATTGTCATTTGCTTACTTGAAGGCTAATCGATATCAATGGCGTTCGTGCTGTCAGTTTGATTGAGCGGTTGGAGGTATAGGCACTCCAGAATGCTTGACATAGGCCAGCAGTAGATCCCCTCCCCCAACCCCTCTTTTTCTCTTCGGTGCCCTATCCATACTCCTCAAAAGAGACTTGAGAATCCCTCTTCATTCTGCACACGCCGCAGCAGTTCTCGTCAAATTCAAAGTTATGTGCGAATCCCTAGAGATGTTTTATTAACCCATCTCCCGTCGTAGACAAAGTTCTATAAAGTTGTACAGTCAAGTGGATGAATATCAGTCTCGGTCAGAATGGGGTCCGCGTGACCCCGCCCCCTCTGAGGACGTTAGGAGACCCTGCCAATCGATGTCAGTGGCGTTCTTGTTGCAAGCTCCCATGCAAGTTGTCTGAATGAGTGTCTGCAAGTCTCGGAAATTCGAAATGATCCTATCAGGCTGGCCCCTGGTCTCACTTTGATTCTCTACTAGTCAATAAGGCTTGCAACTAACTTGTGATTGTACGATACCGAGGTATCGTTGTCGAACACGGACGTTATTCTGTCAAAGATGGTGGTCCTATCAGTCTAGACTTGAAAAAGAAGAGTCTGTTTCACGCTTTTACTAAACTATGTTGACTGTATGTTTTTGGAGGCATTAGGAGAATATTTGTTCCACTCCAAGACTGACTAGAAAGTTCTTCTTCTCCGTTTTGCGGCTGAGCGTCCCAGGAGTCCATTCCGAATGGATTTCAGCTCAGTCGTTCCCAGTGCTCGGATATTTTCGACTGCTATTGAACGCTTTCTCCTTCATGGAGAACTGCCAGCAGCCTACTCTAGGCCGACAAGCCTCGTGATGAAATCAACAACCTGCAAGTTGTAGTGATGCGCGCACAAATGAGCGTATTTCGACGGCAATAAGAGTGCCTCAGCGACCAACGGTCTTGCACCATCCTGAACGTTGTGCCCAATCTCAGAGAGAGAGAGATGGATAGCACATCCATTGGCTCTTGATCTGTTCGCTGAGCTTGACAATTGACTTACAAACGTTTCGTCACCATACGAAGAGAAGCATCCGAATGATGTCTCCCCGTAAGGTAGCGAAACGTTTGCCAGCCGGTCCTGAAGCCCGGCGAACAGATCAACAGCCACCTGATCACGAACCAATAACCTTACCTGAGCTACCAATGTTTCGACACATTACCAGAGCATATTCATGTCACTTCGGGAAATTCACCTGCAGGCCTATCAAGCCTGATGGTAGAATGACCGCTCTCTGGACAGTGTGACTGTAACAGCCCGATTGGTCACAGATGATCCTTATTCACATTCCAGTTGACAATAGATATATTTACTTGCACTTAGTGCCCTACTATCAAACCTAAACCTTTGTCATCATGGAAAAAGTCGATTTGAAGCACCGTAAAGCATGTTACCTTGAACGAATGAGTGACGTTTTAGTGATACAACTACAGAAGTCCTCCGGGAACAAGCTATCGGGGGGCGTTTTTGCGTTCATCTTTGATTCCGATCACCGTTTTGTCTCCTAGGCTGGTGTACATAACTACTTACAAAGGTGAAAGTACTTTTGAATGCAGTAAACTTTCAGGTAGCGGATCTCACAAAATAATCGCTCAGCTGTAAAACCCTTTCAGTGCCTAGCTGCCATACCAAGCAAAGGGAGCACAGGGAGCCAGGTTGCCCAACCCTAGATCTGGTCGGGTTCGAACCACGGACCTTTCGATCAGCAAATTCGCGCTCTAACCACTAAGCCATAGGCATAATCTGTCATGTCGCCTGATCCGGTTTGGATAACTGTTGATAAATTACAAGATGTGAAAAGTTAGGAAGCTAAAATTTCGCTTCTGAAGACGTTAGCTTCAAATTGTGCTTTACTAGGGAGGAAGAGCAAAGTGAAAACAAGGGTTGCAGTCCAATAGAGGGATACTCAATATATACAAACCAGGGTCCGAGTTTTCACAACACCTTTTTCACGCTTACTAGATCTTGAAGGCCGATTTAACTGAGTCTAATCTGTTACGTGTTTCATCAAGAATGTATGTTGCGATATCCCGGTTAGCGTGCATCCTAAGGCAGCATATGTGTAGCATAGCCATGTACGGTGGCCAGCCGTCCCTAATAACCGAACATTACATCATTTGAACGGACGTCACGTGCAGCCTATGGACCAAACGGAGGCACGCCCTGGTTGGCCAGAATGCCAGCCAATCTGGTTCGAGCGTCTTTCTTGGGCGCTTCTCGCCCATTCACGGAGGTTCTAGGACGACCTTGTGGTACATTCTGTGATTGTCCTATAAATACAGATGTAATAATTCTCCTTTTGTCTCCATAAAGGGCTGTCTAGTGCTACCGTGCCTTTTGATATACCATAGTGGGCGGAGCAGGAATCCAACGGACCGATACAGAGTTGCACTACCGTCCATCAAGACACAACAACTCATTTCCAGAAAAACAACCGAAAGATCCAGCTGGAATTCAGCTGAGTCTCCCGTCAACACCTGTCGGTGAGTGCACTCGTACATATGCGTCGAATCTGGTTTTCAAGTTGAATACTAAGTTGGCAGGAACTCTGGGACCGAACGCACCTACTGAACCTCAAGAAGGATAGAACCGGTTGTCGGAGGGCTGAAGGGTTTTCAGCAACCTAACAAGTAGTGTGTTGCAGCACGAAAACCAAATGCACCACTAGTGCTTCTACGGTAACATTAAGTTTTACGGGGATGACATAGTTCGAATGTTTCAACCATTCTGTTCAGCAGCACTTCAAAAGGCTACATGTTCCATCACACTTGGAGTGTCCTTTTGCTGCCGATAATTAAATCGCACGGTATCCCCAACTTTCATATGCGATGAATTCACTTCAGTGGTGCTTTTCGTCAATATCAGTTAATATCACTTTTGTGACTGACCTTTCCGTAAACTATCTGACGGTGCAGTTGTCAGACTTTTTCACGCATTTACTGCAGCTGACTGTCAGTAGCTGTTTAGGCGTTTTCCGCAAACTACTGAGTAGTATGTTGCGCCTAAACAGCACTTTTTGCCTTCCCCACGCAACCTGAAGTTCAACAATATAGAAGAGTGCAATAAGCACGTGAGCTTCTCGGAATATACTAGAAAACTTACAGAAACACGCGAATATTTGCTACACAGAGCGTAGGTGTTTGAGAAGAGTTCTGTGTGTGCTATTTGATTACTTCATGACCGGTGTACATGGTTTCCACTGACTCAATTCAGTTGAAGCTTGCTGACTCTAGCGGTAGAAAAACATGAGTTGGCTTCTGTTCGTTTACATTTCAAGTCGCCGTATCGATTTAAGCTGTTTCTCAGTGAACGGGCAAACACACGTCTATCTTTACCCTTGGATAGGATATGTCACCTCCTAGTCCCAACAGAACATCTTTCTTCATTTTTACCCATCTCTGAGTAGCATTTCAGAGCACAACAAACGATATATCACTTCCAAAAGATGGAAAACGTAAAATCCTACTTCACCGATCCCACACCATGAACTGTTTACTGTACTGGAATATTTGAGGATGGATCTTGAACCAGTCATGAATGTTTTGCTGCATCTTCTGTAAACAACCTTACTCAACCTGTCCGGATGCCAGCCTTCCCTACAAACCAAACAACACATCATTTGGACGGATGTGTCACGTGCATCCAACGGACCAAGTGAGGGCCTGCCCTGATTGGTCAGAATGCCAGCCAATCTGTTTCGAGCGTCTTTAGCTCGGCGCTTCTTGCCCCTTCGCGGAGGTTCTAGGACGACCTTGTGGAATATTCTGTGATTACCCTATAAATGCAGTTGTAGTAATCTTCCGTTGTCTCCAAAAGAGGCTGTCTGAAGCTACCGTGCTTTTTGATATACCATAGCGGGCGGAACACGAAGCCAAGGACCGAGAGAGAGTTGCATGACCGTTAAGCGAAACACAGCACAACCTGAGTAAGATTACTAGTCCTATTTTTCGTGCCAGAGCCTACTTAGAGTCTTCGTTTTGGCAAATCATGTAGACGAATCGTACTTTGGATGGCCACACGAGCCATGTGACAGCTTGGCATCAAGCAAAAGAACCGCTCAGCGACGCCTCAGTATTTGGCTGGTGTCGTTCAGTCACTCAATGCCTTGTAGGTTTCTGTATCCCCCCCCCCATGTTGGGGCTGTAAAGGGATTAAAGCTCAACTTTATACCGTTTTTTAAACACAAGCAAGTAAAAACTGACAACATTATCACACTCCGCAGTTGAGTAATCAAACGGTAAAGTCCAGATATTTTGACACATCCATCGTTAGAGCGTACCCTGATATCATTCAGGCTAATACTGACAGGCTTGTATGTGTCACAATCGTGAGAATCAACCCCAACCACAGGGCCACCAGGAATTATGTTGCTGTGACGTCAAAAAGAGCGACCGTTCACTTAAGCGACTGAATGCTTCTATGTGCCTTCAAAGGGTTCCTCGTTCGGCGGAAGTGGTCCCCGTACACACACACACACAGTTGTTTGCTTCCAGATGGAAGTTAATCTGAGTTGAATAAGTAAATGATTAGATACGTATATATTATAGCTACAACACTTCTCTCCACTTTCATTTCTCACCATGACGCAGAACACGCCTCCCTGCTTAATCTTCAATGTGAATCGACCACTACTATCTCACTGAATTTTTCCGAAAACGGGGTCTCAAGAATCTACAAGAACCAGTGATTAGTTGAGCAACGCTGATGTTTGTGAATTTCATACCATACTTGAGGTTCAATGTTCACAACATTGTGGCTTTGTTAGACATCCTTTGTTCTGTCTTTGTTTTTTTTGTTTTTTTTTTGTTTTCAAAAAAAGGCGCTTGACTTACTCGCGGAATTTGACACATTGCAACGATAATCAGAGCCGCGAACTCGCAATATGTCGTTTTTATTTTTCAAGTTAGTTGACCTAAAGTTTACACCAAATTCGGTTGTTCGGAAACGGTCGTGATTGAAAAGATCAGTCGACTCAAACTCGCTTGACGCGCTACTTATTTTCACAACTAGGAGCCTTTGGTTCCATTTATTCACACTGACCAGTCGTCAGTATGACGTCTTGTAGACGTCGGTTTTCAGCCATGTCCAGAACTGAGCATTTTCTCCTCGTATTTAGTTGTGTGATCACTGGGCATGCCGTTCGGCATTCGCACTGAGGACCTCCTCGTTGCTGGAGGCAGTAGTGCGGCTTATTTTGCAATCTCCTAAATGCATCAAGTGCGGGAAGTTCTATTTTGAACATTGACCCAATTAGAATCTTTACAGTGTGACTGTATTCACTAAAACTAATGATGCCAACTTAGTGACGAGTGCTCTAAAGTGGGGCCTTTGTCTCTGACCTCCAGTAATGCTACCGTCACTTTCTTGTTTCACAGAATTAGGAACTTTTTGTCCATTTCTCTGAAATGTCTTCGATACTAACTGCATGGTAATCGATAAGCATCCTGTTGCTGCAGTAGACTCTTCCAAGCTAAAACCGCTATGGAAATAAGAACATTGTTGCTACTAGAATGTTCGCCTCTGCCATGAAATTGAGAGCGAACCGAAATTTCAGATTAAAACCATGGATGAGCAATTTGCGAAACGTCCAGTCCCAAGGATAACCGAACCAGTGTTGTCAGGACCAACTCGTAAGGCTCCACTTCAACACCCCTTACAAACAAAAAATAAGCGCGCAATTTTCAACACACAGTGAGATCATCTTTTCTTCGAAAACATGTTAGTTTTTGCGGATTGCATGTTCGTTCTAAAAGCAGCTGAAAAATCCAAAAGGTTTTTCACTCCACTCGAAATAACCATGTTGGTGGAGTGAACACGCTCTTGCGAGTTCAATTCTTCATGATTTATCGCATTGCACTTACAAACTGTGCGAATCTATTATCACTCGGATGTGAACGGAAAACATTGTGGCAGTTTTTGTTTTTAACTATTTATGACACGGCCTTCTGTAGATCTACACTGATCTGTTTTGTCCCACGGAATCTACACCGAAATTTGAAAAAAAAATGGTTTTTTGGTCGTACGGTTGAAGATCAGTTGCTTGATTGAAAGTTGATCTCCTATGGGCGACGATAATATGTAAAGGTGATTGACAATGCTGAGTGGCCTAAACTTTCGATCAGACTCACGAACATTTCTTTTTTTTCAACGAATTCATGCAGCTACACATCATCGTCAGTAAGGAATGTCAGGTGGAAAAGAATGCTTGAAAGTGTGCTGGTCGGACGCAGATAATTTTGATGATTGACAAAGTATTACGATGAACAATCGGACTGGAACAATCGATATTTGATCAGATTAACTGAATGGTGATGTTGTGTCCGTTAAACACACGGCTGGTCAGCTGAGGTTGTTTTGGAAATATAGCGCCAATCAACTGACCAAAAGGTCCGTGGTTCGAACCCGAACCCGAGCCCCTCGACTTCCCCTGTCTAGGCTTGGACAACCTCGCGGTATCCAGGCCCTCGTGCTTCTTTCCGGTGGCACAGCAGCTAGGCACCGAAAGAGTGTTACAGTTGAACAATTATCTTATACAATTTTTGCTTTTTTATGCTACAGAGCTGAAGGTTATAGAATAAAATCTTCCATGAGATACGTATGATCTACAATAAGGAGGAAGAAGCTTGGCTTATAGGCTTTTTAGAACAGGCTGACTTCTTTTGATCGATAAATCCCCACGATGATCGTCTGACCAACTACAAACCACCAGTCATTTCACCAGAAAGACTAGGCCTCAGGGTATCCGCACCCATCCGTCTATGTGCCACCGGGTCAGGGAGTTTAAAACGGATGTCTGAAGGATGTTGATACTATCATCTATCCGAGTGCGAAAAAGTCACAGAGCCGATCAGTCATTCACGGCCGAATAGCATATTGTTCGACTGCTAACAGGAAAGAGATGCGTGCTGGTGAACTTTCAACGTAGATTAACTTCACCGGAACGAGGTGATCTCATCCAAAACAAACGTTACGTTTGAAGAAGTAACCAGTCGTAAAACTCTGGCCGGTGATTGCTTGGTACCAAGGTCTAGCCAGTGCTACAAACCTAATCATTGATACTTGATGACAGATGAAGTTTTAGGAATGCAACGACACCTGAGCTGAACCACAAAGAGAAAAGTAATTACCTTGGGCCAAAAAAAAACTGAAATTAGAAAATCAAAACGACCTCGGAACCCCGGGGACTGCACCTATCTGATGAGCCCCAAAAAGGGCGAAACCGGTCGTGGGCTGTCGATGGATTTTCAGCAACCTTTTGAGTAGTGCATTACAAAGATATACATGTATCGCGATACCTTGAATATCGTAGTGACTGAAACATGAGGCGGCCTGGTTCAGCATGGGAACATCACAAACGGGAGATTCAGCTGGGTTCCAGGTGAGTCTTTCGAAAAACCAAATTAGTTTGCAAACGAGTGTATATTCGCTGATTTCGTGCAATTTGGTTTCAAGTAGAACATAAGGCTGACGGAGACCCGGGGACTGCGCCCACCTGATGAGCCCCTAAAAGGGCGAAATTCAGCAACCTATGAGTAGTATATTACAAAAATATTCATTATTCGTCAGTGTATGATAGTATATGTATGGCAATGAAACATTTGTGTCCTCGGGAGACCACAGCTCATAACAGGTAATTTTTCAGTTGACCACCAAACGCTTGTTTATGCAGTTAGGTTTCTCGGACGTTATACCCGTGAAAGGAGAAAAATCTACGTTGCGGTGTTATCAATTAGAGAACTGGACAGTTACAGACTACTGAACAGGGAAGCAAAGCCCTCATATGCATCTTGTTTACAAAACTGAATATCCCTCTCCCCCTCTGAACGCGTCTTCCTGAATTTTCCTGAATATTCATTGACTGTTACTCAAACGCAAGCGAACGATACAAATCGACTCCACAAATTCCGTAACAGATCTCACTTTTCAAGAGAAGCGGATTTACGAGAAAACATACTACTCTCATGCCCCATCAGTAGTGTCCACCGTTCGGGCGATTTTCGTTCAAGGTGGCCAAATCATTGGGGAATACAGTATGTTATGCACCCAACTGCATAAATGGCGGTGCGAAGTTGCAGTTTGATAGGGAGTATTGACATCCATTAAAGGCAGTCGTACGAGTGAATGACAGGTTAGGTTCGGTGATGCGAACGTTGCACAGGGTGCCACTGCTGTGCTTATGATGAAAATCGAATGAAGTGTGATAACCTGGTGAATTGGTAGACAGATTATGTTGAATTAGAGAAGGAAGCTGACAGTGCGTGCACTCCTCTGCTCGTTCTCAGTTCACCTTCATGCACAATATGTATTCGTGCGGCAGTCAGGTGTTGGCTTTTCCTTCACTGAGGATGAAGACAAGGTGGAGGACTGAAATGTAAGGTGCATGAATTTCTCAAACGTTTTGGATGCTCATTTACGAATGCACCTTCAGTACAATGGTTTCTTGTAAGGTAACTTCCAACAAACAGAGATATGGTATTAGGATAACCGAGAGTAATGGTCATCAAATCGCAATTTTGCCTAATCAGGACGCAAACCGGTCCCCCCTGCCCACGCAGCCTTGATCTCGTTCTTTTCTGAATTGGGATAACAGACAATAAGAGGTGAAATGACAGGCTGGCAAAGAACATTGAGAACCACCCATTAAGGTATTCGGTAAACTGCACCACCCGCAGGAATTGTGAGGTTTCCAATCGTTCGTTTTCGAATAAAACAACGATCACGTCTCGGTAGCAACATAAAGCAGGAAGCTTCTTTGAACTCTTGCCTTGCCAGCTGTTGGCCTGTTCGTGACCAACAGCTGATTGCCACCAGTATCGTAAATTTTCCCCAGAATCCCTGTTTCACTTCCTTTTGCTAAAGTATTTACCAAAGCGTTTACCTTGATACAACTGCCCAACCTGTCAAAAGTTTTCCATGACCCCATAAGGCCATCAAGTTCATCAAGTCAGCCCTAAATTCCGCCATCGTCTTGCTTGTTCGGCTTCCGCAACAGAGTGTACTTTTGGAACAAGAAATTCTGCCCTTGCTTGTTCGGCTTCCGCAACAGAGTGTACTTTTGGAACAAGGATGTTTGTTCATCTTTCAGCGCAATTTCCGATAAGATAAGATGCAAATTAGCTGTTGCCTAGGATACACTTGATCCCTCCCAGAACAGGCACTTTCCCCTGCTGGCACTACCAACAACAGAGCAACTTTCATTCCAAGTGTCGAAGTTCACGAGAAATGTGTTTTTTCTTCCACATTTCCCATCATTCTTAATATACCTGACTTTATCTGAAATACAGGTCTCTCACTGTATGTAATTTACGCTGTATTTCTTGGAAAACGTCTCCGGAAATCTCACTAATATAAGCGACTTTTCTCCGTGGTCTTCATTTCAGC